GGGCTCTTACGAGGGCCATGAGCTCTGCCTTCTGGGCAGACGTACCTGGAGGGAGGGCTTCTGCTTCTAAGATTCCTGAGGAGTTACTACTGTGTACCCCGCCTTCTGGAGTCCCCAGTCCACGAAGCTGCTCCTGATCATAAACATATCCATATCTGCATTTTCTAAAGGCTGATCAGTTAGGTTAGGACTGCTAGAACAGACTTCTTCAGTCATTTGTATGGTATGAGATGCCTTATGGCATTCCACAGTGCACTTAATGGCTCATTGTCATTTCCTTTAAGAGCCTCATGTAGGGGTTTGGCCATGAGTCCAAAGTTAGGAATCCAAATATTACAAAACCCAGCCATTGCTAAGAATCCTAGCAATCGCCTTCTGGTAGTGGGTACAGCTACCCTAGCTAACGCTTCCCTTCGATCCAGCAATAAGGGATCTTTTCCTTTTGATAACTCAAATCCTAGGTATTTTACAGTTGGTTGAGAAATTTGCGCTTTTCCCCTGGAGACTTTGTCCCCAGTCTGCCAGAAAGTTTAAAGTGAGGGTTGCATTTTGGTCTGAAGCTTCCTTAGTTTTACTAGAAGCAAAGTATAAGGATTTGGCATCACGGGATGTATACCTCCTACAGTTTGGTTAATGGCTTTCAAATTCTGTACAAAACGCTAATCTCTGGCCCCGGGTTTTTGTACCAGCAGGACTGGAGTGTTATATGGGGATTGACGAGGTCCGATTAATTGGCATTTAAGAAAGGTGGTTATCAGAGGGTTTACACCTTTCTTTGAATGCCTGTTTAAAGTGTATTGCTTTAAATTGGGAGCCTTGGTGCCTGGATGGAGTTTTACTACTATTGAGTCAGGCATCTTGACTCTCCCTGGCCTTCCTGCAGCCCAAACATCCGCTCTTACCTTTTGTGGAATTTCCTCAAGGACGGGTCTCCCAGTTGTAATAGTGCAGCTCAGAGGGCGCAGGTTTGATCTGGGAGTACTTTAATGTCTGGTGAGAAAATCATTTAATTTTGTTAGTAGATCTTGCCCCAACAAGGGAACGGGGGCATCAGGCATGTACAGAAAGCTGGGCTTTAAATATGGTTTTTTTCCAGTTATATAGATCAGAGGTAGAAAAAGGGGGAGTGCACAGATACCAACCCCCTGGGTTGACCTTGGTCATCTAGATCGGCAGGAACTTGTCTTAAGGGATATTGCCCTGCCTGAGGCAGAGGACCACGTGGACTGAATTGAATACGCTGGCATGTACCGGGAGGGGAGTTGATCCCTTCTGACTCTCTGGTAAGGAGGGTATGAGGGTAGGGCTGGTTGTGGCTGTAGGAGGATTGCTGGTAGAAGTCTTGGCACGCCACGCAGGACTTCCCCCTTCGTATGGCGGGAGGGCCACAGGGCGCCCAAGGCGAAGCCAAATGGAGTAAGTCGAGATCATCATTAGGCTCTGACTGCAGGCAAGACAGGCTTTTCCTGAGGGTCTTGCCTCTGAACCATGATTTTACATCTATTCTGCAAACTCTTATTCTGATATAAAGACCTAATTTGGTTACGCTGCTGAAAAAATTGCAAAATAAGTTAGAAAAAACAGTCAAATGACTTGTACCTGCTTCCTCTTGATCTGAGGAAAGTTGATATTCACAGTGCAAAGCAGAGCTGATGGTAGGACAGCCAAGATTTCTCCATGTGGAAGTCCATCCTCTGGAGGAAAAAAAAGCCCCTTCGTGAAGCAGGAGCTCTGTTGTTGGCTGACCGGGCTGCCTCCATCGTTGTGCTCCAAGTACTTTACTTCTTGGCCAGCAAAAACACGGAAGAGCCTGGAACAACTGCCGTTGGCAAATGCCTGCTGCCTCTTCCCAGCCTCCATGGATTGGGCCCGACGTCAGTCTTATCAGAGACTCGACGTCCGTGGGATGCAATGCTGGCTGCACCTGGAAAACCCTTGCGTTCATGGGAGATGAAGGAAAGCACCAGGGTTTGCCAATCTGGGGCTCAGGGCATACTTTGTTCCTTTGTAGGAAGCACCTGGGCACACTCAGGGCTTGCCCCCTCAATGATTCCACCTTAGAGCTGATTCTGAGGGGTTAGCTGGCCCCCCTGAGAATGGACGTTTGGAGAGAGTGTGCAAACAAGCAACTCATAAGTCAACAGTTAGCCAGTGCCCCAGGTTTCAAACCCAAGAGCTGAGAACAGTCTATGGATTGCAAACCTCTAGAAAATGGCCTTCCCTCACTCCCGCCGACCCCACCCCTCCCAGAACAGCAGACAGCCTCAAGAGGTGTGAGGGAGAAAGCAAGAACCGTACAATTTGGGAACCAATTTCATCTCCTAGTTGGTTTCTGGAAAGAAGCAAGCAAATGAAGTAGTGACTGTTCACAACTTGGCTGTATGAATTCCCCCAAGAATCCAATGAGGAGTCAAAGATGGCCAGCATGGATGTGAGGGTTCACTTAGGGAACACTGGAAACTTTCCATTAGAGGTGATTGCCAAGAACTGTGGCTTGAAAGTCACGCATGCTACCAGCTGCTGAGGAAGCTGCCCGGCAGCTCCAAGACTGTAGTCAATTTGGCCAGAGGCTCCTAATAATTTTCCCCTGTGTGCTAAGGGCAGGCTTGCCTATTGCAGAGGGGCCTGTGAAAGTCCAGACTGTCTCCCTCGCCAGCTCAGAAAACCTACCCGATGAGGAGGAGGGTGAAAGAGGTGACTGGACCATCTTGAAGAAAGTGAAGTGAGGAGGCTGTCTTAGACTCAGTTGGAGCTGAATTTGAGAGAGGAATTCAGGAAGATACAGGCTGAAATACCCAAGCCCTCACTTCCTTTCTGAGCATGTTGGTGTTTAATCTTCCTGGTAGACGACCAAAACATTTTACCTCCCCAGCAGAGATCACAGACGAGCTAATCTAGACGTCTGGGCTATTTCTAGGTGGAATGCATTCAGCCCAAGGCCTCCATGTATGTAGTCCATGGCCTTAAGCACCACCACCAATGTTTGTTCCTCCAAGCGAACTTTCCTTTTACATAGAGACTTAAAAGCACTTCAATGCTAACTCCCTGTTAGTTTGGCTCATGCAAAATAGGGTTAAAATTCTCAGTAAGGGAAAACCAAAATGTGTCCAATTATATAGAATTCCTTTAACCCAAGAACAGGGTATGTTCCTCTGGGATGGAGGATTTTCCTGCTTTACACACCCTCATTTCTCCTTTACCCTCTCACCCCAACAAGGTAATCAGGGCTGGTTCCATTAAGAATACACCCCTGTATCAATACCTTCGGGCAATCATATTAGGGACAAGTGAGAAAAAAAACCCCACACCTCCATAAGGCAAGGTTTCTAGTCAGGGAGCAATGTCTTTGGTCTCCTGAGTCAGAGGGCCCTTATTCATATCTGGTTTAATAAAGTTTTGGTACAGTCATACAAGAGCCAACCGCTATCAGCCAATCCTAACAAAACAGTCAGACATAGACAAACATAGATAAACAATGAAACCAAAGGCCTGGAACTCTAACCCAGGGTTTGGGACTCTAACCCCATCCTTTGAGTACCTCAGTGGCTAGAACCTTTTATATTGTCTCCCTTAGTATGGGACTCTAACCCATGATCTTAGCCTTGGGACTCTAACCCAAGGTTCGGGAATCTAACCCAACAAAAATCTCCCCAGGTTGGAGCTCTAAACTATAATCCCAACAAGGTTATTAGACAGGCACAGGTGCATTTTAATGAGCTTACTCACCCAAAAGACCTCTGATCCAGGAGTTGCTTCTTTTCTCAAAAGTGAAAGCAGCACCAAAGAAGCTGGAGTTCCAGGCTGGGGAAGCAGGAACCTGACAGGTGACCCTCTAGACAGATTCGGTCTAGGTAACCACTCTGGATTGGTGGCAAGGCACACACTCCACTAAGGGCCACAGTGCCTCTGGCAGGCGCTCAGAAGCCAAAATTGTTCCAGGCAAGGGCTCGCTGCCCGATGCGCATAGAAGCCAATACTATGGCACCGGCTTTTGAGAAAATAAAGAGCTTTATTGAGAGGTTGACAGGCAAGGAGACAGATTTGAGAGCCTTGCCTCCTGTCGTCTTGCCGCTCAACCTCTCAGTAAAGCTCTTTCTTTTCTCAAAAGCCGGTGCCATAGTATTGGCATCTATGCACACTGGGCAGTGAGCCCTTGTCCAGTAACATGATCATCAGTCTATTCTATGTGTGCATATCCTCGGGCATGTTTTATTCAAATAACATTCCTACAGGTTTCTTTTTATAAATTTATTTATTTATGGCTGCATTGGTTGCTTCTTAGGGGCTTTCTCTAGTTGTGGTGAGCGGGGGCTACTCTTCGTTGCAATATGCAGCCTTCTCATTGCAGTGGCTTCTCTTGTTGTGGAGCATGGGCTCTAGGCACGCGGGCTTCAGTGGACGTGGCACATGGGCTCAGTAGTTGTGGCTCGCAGGCTCTAGAGTGCGGGCTCAGTAGTTGTGGCGCACGGGCTTAGTTGCTCCGCGGCATGTGGGATCTGCCTGGACCAGGGCTTGAACCCATGTCCCCTGCATTGGCAGGCGGATTCTTAACTACTGTGTCACGAGGGAAGCCGTCCTACAGGTTTCTTGCCTCTTGTCTCATATCTTATTGAAGCCCATATTTTTTAATTTTTTTAATTTTTATTTTTTTTGCGGTACGCGGGCCTCTCACTGTTGTGGCCTCTCCCGTTGTGGAGCACAGGCTCCGGACGCGCAGGCTCAGCGGCCATGGCTCACGGGCCCAGCCGCTCCGCGGCATGTGGGATCTTCCCAGACCGGGGCACGAACCCATGTCCCCTGCATCGGCAGGCGGACGCTCAACCACTGCGCCACCAGGGAAGCCCGAAGCCCATATTTTTATGGCCATATTTACAATATTTGTTAAGCAAATTATTATTCAAATACATGACCAAGAAAATGACTTTTGTAAAACGTTTTTAAAAAAATGAACATGCTTTCACACAGGTATATCTAATCATATCTTTATTTCTTTTGAGTAGTGAAATAGCAAAAACAGAATTCCTCCTTAAAGAGTACATGAACTATGGATTTTTTGTGCTGAAATTGTCTCCAAAACAATGGCAAATCCAGCAAGCAATGAAAAGGGTGTCAAAGAATAAAGAAAATGTGAATGTCAAGCTTCCAAGTGTAATGACAAGTAAGTCCCATATTCTTAAATTCAATTAAGTAAATATCCCTAATTCTAAAATATTCTGCCTCAATGTTTGTTTTTTATTAAATAGTCAGAATTTTTATTTTAAGCAGAACCTGAACAATCCCACTATCCCACCATCTCTGATATTATAAATTATTAATTTGGAAATTCAGGTTAATTTCAGATATGAAGCAATAAAAATATATACATGGAGGGCTTCCCTGGTGGCGCAGTGGTGGAGAGTCCGCCTGCTGATGCAGGGGACATGGGTTCGTGCCCAGGTCTGGGAAGATCCCACATGCCGTGGAGCGGCTGGGCCCGTGAGCCATGGCTGCTGAGCCTGCGCGTCCAGAGCCTATGCTCCGCAACGGGAGAGGCCACAACAGTGAGAGGCCCGTGTACCGCAAAAAAAAAAAAAAAAAAAGTATTTGTTTATCTTTCTAGATGAACCTCAGAATCATTATGCAAAGTTCTACCTAACCCAACATCCAACTCCCTGACCAATTTTTTTGTAACATTTTTATTATAATTCCATAAAACATAATTAATTTCAGAAAAATTGGCAGCTTTACAAAATCAACCTTCCTATCTAAAAACATGACACATTTCTCATTTGTCAAATCTCCTGGTCACACAATTAAGGTTAGAGGATCTGGAGTAGAGTGCCTGTTAGAGGATCTGGAGTAGAGTGTAGGGGAGCGGGGTGGAGGAAATAGGTGGTGGGGTCAATGTCTTCTTCTCTTTAAAATCTTGAATATAGAAGTCACTCAGTTTAAATAACATCCCTCAACAAGACGTTTTAGTAATATGTGTTCCAGTATCAGTTTAAAAGCTTAAGATGGTAATTTATGGCGGTGGTAGAACCCACTGGTTCTTCATCCATTTTCTTTTCTTCCCCCACTCACCATGTATATATTGGAGGCATACAATGTATCGGGTTCTTTTTAAGACTCTGAGTACACAAAGACCAATAGGACATAGTTCTGCACCCTGGACCTATACTATACAATACAATACAATAGGGCAAACGATACAGCAGTGATAGTGAGGGGTCTGGGAGCAAAAGCAAAAAATGTGATCTATGCCTGAGGCATTTAGAACAGTCTTTTTTTATATATATATAAATTTATTTATTTATTTTTGGCTGTGTTGGGTCTTCATTGCTGCACGTGGGCTTTCTCTAGTTGCAGTGAGCGGGGGCTTCTCTTGTTGCGGAGCTCGGGCTCTAGGCATGCGGCCTTCAGTAGTTGTGGCGTGCGGGCTCAGTAGTTGTGGTGCATGGGCTTAGTAGTTGTGGCGCATGGGCTTAGTTGCTCCACGGTGTGTGGGATCTTCCCGGACCAGGGATCGAAACTTTGTCCCCTGCATTGGCAGGCGGATTCTTAACCACTGTGCCACCAGGGAAGTCCCAGAAGAGACTTTAAGAGGAGGTGATGTTTGAGCTGGATTTTGAAGAATAAGTAGGAACTTCCCAGGTAGAGGGTGGGAGACTGGGACCTGCTGTGGTTTCAAGACAGAATAGCAGAAAGGGTGATTGGAAGTCACGAGAGCACAGGCATGAGGAAGTGTGGCCTGGCTGTGGGGGGGATCTGGGGGTCAGTGAATGCAGAGACCCAAGACCAGTTTTGCCCACTTCTCAGTTTCAGACCAGGGTCAGGCCCAGACACTGGTGTCAGGGGAATGAGTGCATGGGCGACTTGTATGGGCCTGTGGTAGGTCTCTCCACAAGATGTAATAATTGAAGTCCATCATTTTTATTTTATATATTGATCTTTTAAAATCTGTGATTAGAAATATGTATGATTAGGTAAAGATAGAACCATGGTTTATATTTCACCATCTATGTCCCTGATTTGTGACCTTTAATAGTTGTGCCACGTTTTTGACAAAATGCACCCCCCCACCCCAAACAGTGCCTTTGATTTTATGCTTGGAACCAAAAGTAGTAGAATAAAAGAGCTCTATTTCCTATATGATTATTATTCTAATAATAATTTTTAAAAAGTAATGGGCATATCGGTGCAGAAAAAATGAATATCTTGTACCAAATAACAAGGACTCACTTCTAATTACGTTATTTTTTTCACTTCCACCATCACCAATGGCATGGACTTTGCCTGGACATTTTGAACAGCAAAACCGCGCAAGACGACCACTCCCACCCTAGAGCAAAAGAAATCATCCTTATCAAAGTACAGTACATATTGATTAACTCTCTTGAAAACTGTGAATTTTTTTTTTAAGCAAATATTTCTTTTAGCCTTTCTTTAACATACGTACCATGTATCCACACCCACCGTTAACAGATGCCGGAGGTAGTGGCTCCATGTGCTCCTGAGGTGACCAAGCTCTCATAGGCCTCCCTGCATCCTTTGATGAGGGCCTACAACCGCTATCTGCAGAAACCGCCTGCGCCCTGCATCTTGGGTCTTTGCCTCTCAGAATTCACTGCCCAGTTGTTTGAATCCACTGCTGACTTGCGTGTTTGCAATTTTACCATGTCATTCAAAATTGCTGCAATGAGACTATAAAGCATTTTTTGTTTCTTCCCTTATTTGATTATTGACTCGCTTATACTCATTATTTCATAGATTGGTAGTTCTCAACCCTAGCTACCCCAGGGGAGCTTTGAAGAAAATATATTGATGTCTAGGATGGGTACACCAGCCCCAAAGGAAGGATCTGGGCCAGCACTGTATTATCCATGACAAAAGCCAACACAGACAGTGTGCTCTGAATTCCAGGGGCCCTGGGGTGACTGCACTTCTGTGGCATTTAGGAGTCACTGTTTTGCTGTGTTTTTAATTAAATTTTCATTTTGAGATAATTGTAGATTCACACGCAGTTGTAAGAAAAAAATAGAGAGGTCCCACTATGGTTCACCCAGTTTCCCCCAATAGTAACATCTTACAAAATTGTAATATGATATCACAACCAGGATATTGACATCAACAGAGTCAAGATACAATCAAATACAGAATATCATAAGGATTCTTCATGTTGATGCACACAATAATACTCAAACGTCACATTCATTCTCTCAGAAAGCTCACCACTCTCCTAGTTTCTTTCATTTACTCAGCACATATTTATTGAGTGCCCTGCAGGGCCAGCAATAAATAAAAGACAGTCTCTGCCCTCCAAGGGCTTAACATCTAGTGAGGGAGACAGACAAGGAATTCGTCAGTTACACTATAATGTGATAAGGCCATTGGAAGGATAAGCTCAGGGTGCCACAGGCATGCAAAGGAAGGACTCTCAGCCCAGATGAGAGGTGAGAGACTCGGAAAGCAAGGGCGGAATCAGTGAACACCCTCCAGATCAGGTGGCATCTAAGCTGCTCCTGGTGAGGAGGAGGTGTCAGTGAGGACATGCTCTGGAAGAGGGAGGGACCTTCTGGGACAGGGGTGACGGTGTTTGGCTCTGTTCAGAATGGCTGGGCCGCAGGGTGCAAGTGGGCGAGGCTCGAGGGGTAAATAGGTATTGTATCATGAACAGGGAAGCAGTGGTGCCATCCAAAGGAGTCTATGTTTTGTTCCAAGTGCCCTGGGGAGCCACTGAGGGTTTTAGCAAGTGTGTGACAGAGACCCAATCAGATCTGCATTTTAGAAAATTGGATATGGTGGTATTTTAAAGAATAAAATGGACAGGGATGAAACTCCTAAATGGACAGGCCAGTTAGGAGCCTGTTGTCACAGTTCATCAGGTGGGAGATAATGGACTGCCTCAACCAGACAGTGGCAGTGGGAACGAAGAAGGAAAGGCTGTGGGACACATCAGGGAAGTGGTATTGACAGGCATCCCCTACACTTTGGGGGAAGTGTGAGGAAAAGAAAGTGGCCACAGATAACTCCCAAATTTCTAGTGTGGCAACCGCGTGTATGATGTTGTCATTCAATGATATGGGGAACACAGTAAGGGGAGCAAGCCTGGCAGGAGGATAAGGAGTGTGATTTTGGATGTGTCTGTTTGAGCTCCGCAGGGGACACCCAAGTGGATATTGGTGTCCAGTTAGAGGCTGGCCATTGAAGTCCAGAGCTCCAGAGAAGGAGAGAGAGATGTGAGAGTCAGTATATTAGCAGTGGTTGAATCTGTGAGAGAGGATGAGATCAGCCCAAAAGAATGGTTAGAATGAGAGGCAAGAAGGCTGAGGAACCACAGACCCAAAGAAAAGGAACCCCAAAAGGTAAAAGAGTATCAGAGAGGTGGGAGAAGATTGATTAGAAAATGCTATCACTGAGTCCAAGAAGAGTGGCATGGACAGCAGTACCAAATGCTTTCTCAGGGGATGTTTCCCAAATATTCATTTACTTCTATGGCCCTTTCTGAGTTTTCCTACAACTTATTTCCGATTGCCTAACGGGCAGCTCCACGTAGGTTATTTTGTCCCCTCAAACTCAACATGAACAAAGCAGATCTTAATCGTGTTCTTATCACATCCTTTAACCGTTTTCCTTCCCGTTAGTGCAACCTCCATTATTCCAGGCTCACAAACTACAAGCGTTGGAGTCATCTTTGTCTCTTCTGTTCTGGCCCCAGTAGCTCTTTCTATTCTTGGTTCCCATGAATTCTTTCTTTCATGCATCTCTAGATTCTCCTCCCAAGCCCCACCCATTTACTCACTTTTCCCATCTTCACTACCCTCTACTTGAAAGTGTTACTTACCTAGATCACACCAACAGCCGCCTTACTCTCTCCTTAGTCCCTGCCCCTTTTAATATTCCAATCATTTTCAATTTATCCTTCTTAAAGGATTTTTCCAGAGCCACCTTGCAAGCCATATAATTATTCTTTAAGGATGTACCTCATCACCCACCCACCCCCAACCAACATTTCCTCGGCCTGATCAGAGATATTTTAAAAGGTAAAATCTACTCTTAAAAAGACAAATATTGTGTTACTTGGAACACACGTTTTGTTTTGAGCACTAGAGCACATGTTTAGTTTCTCAAGAAGACTGCCTTAAAAAGGACAAAGCAGATGTAGCAATGTAGATTGTCATGTGTTTTTTTTTCTAAATTTTTTTAAAATTTGAAATTTTATAGATGCACCTCAAATAATTGGTATCATGTGGCATGGCCCTTCCTTGTGGTCTGTTTGCATATGTCACCCTCGTCTGGGACTGAATCTGATTTTCTTTTGCATACTCATGGAAACCATGGATTCCTGCAATCAGCAATTCCCTAAAAGGCTAAACAGGCTATTGAAAAGAACTATGTCACAGTTAGGTTCCAAAGACAATTTAGAAATGAAAGCAAATCTGTTGACAGAAAGTGGCTCAGAAATCAGGCATTTTCTTTTTCTTTTACAGCCGAGCTGAAAGTATCAGTTCAGAAGACAGTTTGGAATTCTTTTTAGATGATGATATGGACTATGATCTGGTAACCAGATTATCTTTCTTGATTTAAAAATTGTGTTTGGTGAAAAGTATAAATGCTCATTTCTTCTTTTGAAATTAAAATGTCCTATTCCAAATATTCCACAACTTTCCAGAAGAAAATATGATTTTGATACTGTTCTCCAGTTATATACAGTTCATCTTTGTCATCAGACATTTAATGAAAAATAAATGTCAGGACTTCCCTGGTGGTCCAGTGGTTAAGACTCCGTGCTTCCACTGCAGGGGGCATGGGTTCCATCCCTGGTCGGGGAACTAAGATCCCGCATGCTACACGGTGTGGCCAAAAGATAAAAAAAAAATTAAAAATAAATAAATAAAGGTCTGTAAGAAGGTAACAATTTAGGAGATATACATTATCTACAGTCTTCCTGTAAAAATAACCACCTTCTGACTGTTTATCATTTTATTGGGGCTTGAGGTATACTGGGTAGCTGGACTGTGAGATAAACTGACCTTCAACAAAACAGCCCTGTATGGCTACAACCCTGACTTTGAGCTAATCCCACCCTAAATACAACCACAGAAACTCAAAACGAATGAAAAACACTTGAAAACACCATCCATGTATTATGTATAACATACCTTATCCAAGTCTTTTTTTTTTTAATTGTAGAGAAAACATAACTTACCATCTTAACCATTTTTAAGTGTATGGTACTGTAGCGTTAGCTATAAGCGCACTGATGTGTAACAGACCTCTAGAACTTTTTCACCTTGCAAAACTGAAACTATACACCAACTGAACAACTCCCCTATGCCCACTCCCTCTAGCAACCACGTTCTACTTTACATTTCTAAGAGTTTGATTACTTTATATACCTTGTAAAAGTGGAATCATGCAGTATTTGTCTTTTCATGACTGGCTTATTTCGCTTAGTCTCATGTCCTCATGTCTTCCAGGTTTATCCATATTATAGCAAATGACAGGATTTCCTTCTTTTTTAAGGCTGAGTGGATATACCACATTTTCTTTACCCATCCATCCGTCTATGGACATTTAGGTTACTTCCACCTCTTGGCTATAGTAAATATGATGAACATGGGTGTGCAAATATCCAAGTCATCTTGCTAATAATTAAATTTACTTAAAGTAATATAAACTTATACTTAAAATTTTGGAAAATAGAAAATCATTAAAATGTGGGGAGAAAATGACCTTCACTTAGCCTCCTGTCTTTCTCGTTCTTCTGTTCCTCTCCCCTTACCTTTCCGTAGACTTGCCTTTTCCCTTTTTCCTGCCCTTGCCTCCTCCTCTGCTCCATCCCTTCTTCCTTCTCTTTTCCTCACCCTCTTCCTTTTCCCCTTCTCTAATAACCTTCATCTCCCCGCAACACCCAAAGTGCTCTCTTCCTGAAGGCCAGCTCTCACGTGGAAATAGGTTCCTTTGTCACCCTCTGCCCATGTCTCCCTCATAATCAGAACAGTATTCCTTTACCCCACTGTTTTTTTCCTAGATGTCACATGTACACAGGTAGCATGTTTTTAAGCGAATTATATTCTTCATTATTGATTGATTAGGAGCCAGAACTTTATTTCAAAGAACCCGAAGAGTTACTTCAGGTCCTCACAGAGCTGGAAGAGCAGAATCTTACTTTGGTACAATACTCCCAAGATGTAGATGAAAATCTTGAAGATGTAAATAAAAGAGAAAAACTTATACAGGATAAAATGTAAGTCATTAAAAACAAGTAGACTTATTCTATTAACCGATTTCTAACCAGAGATAAAGTCCAACTCATTTATGTATGGCCCTTCCTCGTGGTCTCTCTGGATTTAGGATGGGATTTTTGTTAATAATAGTTTACACTGAAGAGTGGAAAAGGTAGAAGTTATATTTACACAGAATAGACTGGCTTTAGTTTAATTTTAGTCCCTACTTTCACTTGTCAAAATATTTTCCTAGCTAGCAATAATAAAAGACAATTTAAAAGATTAAAAAGAATTGAAATATCACCTACTGCCTTAATTTTTGTTCAATACAGTTTTATGCTATCATCTGGCTAATCAATTCATGCTTTGGATAATGCTAATAAATGCATTTTACTTGGCTGTGACTCTCAGCAGAAGTTTTTTGTGTGTGTGACTTAAATATATCATTTTATAATGTACATATTGACACATCAGGGCTACTATAAAAAAGGATTTCTGTTGGGAAGGAGGCTGGATTTGATGACTCACAAAATTCCTTTCTACTCTAAAATTTTATATGATTACAATTTTGGAAAATAGCTTCAAGTTGCAGAGAATAGACCTTTATATCTACTCATTCTAAAAATGTGTAGAACCTTTTTTGGGAAGAGTCTTCTGGATCAGAAGACAGCAATCATTTTAAATAGTTAAGTCAAACTACATTGAACTTTGGAACATATTAACTTGTTCATAAGTCAAGAACCTAAAACCATAATCTCATAACCACCCAGTAGACTACTGTATCCTTTTAATCCTTGTCTCCTCTCTCCCAGTCCTCAGTGTATGGGGCCCCCGCCCTGACAATATGATTTGAGGGGATGGGGTGGGTATGGTTGGGCAGGAAAAGGGGATCTATATCAGAATCTCTAAGTGAGTAGTCAGGAGTCTGTACTTTACCCAGTGGCTCCTCAGATATTCTGATTATCAGCCAGGTTTGAGAACGCTTGGGCTCCCGATACCTCAGCTCTGCTGCTTTCTATTTGGGGGACTCGGGGGAACCACAGAAGTGGGGATGGGGTGAGAAAAATGCTTCCTGATGGAAGTTAAAAAGCATCTGTGCATTTATTTTTCTCACTTTAACCTGAAAAGTTGCATGTACTTTGTCAATGTCTTAAAATATAAACTTGTATTTGGCTTGCTAGACATAGGATGCTGACACATGATCTGGAGGGAGTGCTAAAGCTCCTGACTGATGGCTTATTTCACTAAACCACAAATTACAGACAAGGGTCTCTTTCTTCTTTTGCAATAGAAATACCAACATAGAGTTTCTTTTGGAACACAAGGAAATGCTTAAGGCTAACTGTGTAAGAGAAGAGGAAAAAGCAGCAGAACTGGAATTAAGGTCCAGGCTATTTAGTTTTGGAGAATGTAATTCAGATGCTCAGGTAATCATTCTTTGCCTGTAGTAATTTTATTTTGGCTCATGATATTAATAATCTGCATTCCCTGTGTATTAAGCGTTGGAATAGGGGAATTAAAGCAAACCACAAGTCCCAGGTTGATGATAGAGCCCACAAAGCAGCTTGGAAATAATTACCTTGTCAATATGTAATAGCTAATTTACACAGTAGATAGATAGAAAGCATTCAAATTGGCATTGGAGTTCTCTTAAAATATTACAAAGTATGATGCTGAGATTTCCCCGCCTATAAATACATTTCTTTTAGTCAGTATACATATTACCATACATATGCAGTAGTTCACTACCTGTGATCATTTTGGTATTAATTTGAGGGGCAAATAATTAACAGAGGAATCACTGAATCAGCACTGAAAGGAATTATCTTCCCAACAGTGAGCTTGTAATAGATTGTGGCCTCTTTCGGGTCTGCATAGATCCACGTGTGCTTATCTGTTTGCGTGCTGGTTTCTCCCAGCTCCATGCAAACCCCAGGGTAGGGATTGTCTTACCCTATCTAGTCAGCTAAGTTTAGTGTCCTCATAAAGTAAGTGCTCAATAAATGTTTGTTGAATGAATGATGAGGTTAGTTTTAAGACCCATAACAAACTCCAGCTAACATTGGTTTTCTTGTAAAAATCTCAAATGAATAAAATTCAAAACTCATATGTGAAACTAATATCACAATTATAGTTATGAACTTGATTTTCAAACAGAGGTAGATTTAAGGGGACTCTATCAGAAGATGACTATGCTCCCCTGCCCATAGGTGGGCAGGGTTATAAAAGACAAACCCGTTTATGGCTCCTTCACAGCCCACATTTCCTAGGGTGGCATAACACCCAGAGGTAGGAGGGGATAGGACTGTGCACTGCCAGAGCAGGAAGTGTGATGACAGCCACCTCTCAGTTCTTCAATGCTGGGGTTTTTTTTAAACCTTTTTTTAAATTGTGGTAAAATATACATAACATAAAATTTACAAGTTAACCATTTTAAGCGTACAATTCAGTGGCATTAAGTATATTTGCATAAGCATCACCATTATCTATTTACAGAATTTTTCATCATCCCAAACAGAAACTCTGTACCCATGAAATAATAATTCCCCATTCCCCCACCTTCCAGCTTCTGGTAACCTCTGTTCTACTTTCTGTCTCTATAAAGTTGCCTCATATATATGGAAGCATACAGTATCTGGACTTCTGTTTATGGCTTATTTCACTTAGCATGTTTTCAAGGTTCATCCATGTTGTAGCATGCGTCAGGATTTCATTCCTTTTTACAGCCAAATAATATTCCGCTGTATTTTTATACCACAGTTTGTCTATCCATTCATCTGTTGACAGACACTTGGGTTGTTTCCACCCTTCAATTCTGTTTTAAATAATTCTGAAACTGATTAACATGAAAAATGTCAGGTAAATATCAGTGGTATCTCCCCGTGCCCTCCACCAAGCCCCTTTCATCCAAATTTAGGGTGGCTATGAAAAAAAGTGGCATTTCAATACTCAAACTTTGAAGCAACCAGAGCCCTAAATGGAGAAGATAGAATTGATCTGAAAATTACTTTTTTAAAGACTATGACATTTGGGTCACAAGTGTAATTTTGGCATCCGTGTATTATATACTCTGGGAAAATGGAGCTAATAATTCAGTGTCTCCCAAAAATGTGAAATGTTGGGGCAGAGAAGCAGAGGCAGAGCAGGACAATTGGCAGGGGAAAGTATTCTTTTCTAAGAATTTTCCAGCTTCCCCACTCCCATTCTTTTCATATGTTGAAATGTGCAAAACATAATCCTTTATGAGTGAATAAGCATAGCTGTGTCTAATTTTAATATTCATAAATTATCGTAGGTATTTTGGAGCTATGAGTATTTCATTCTTTCAAAATTTCCACACTCTTAACTGTACTTAATCCCCTAAAAACATTTTTCCTTGATTCAATATTTTACTTTTAAAATAAAATTTTAAACTCAACTATAATGTAATACTGAAAAATGCACAGACCCTAAGTTTATCTCTCAAGGAATTTCCTCAAGGTGAACACACCATTACCACCCCCAGAAGCCTCCCACATGCCCCATTCCAGTCTCTACCATACACACAAGATGACCACTATCTTGACTTCTCTCACCATCGATTAGCTTTCATGTTTTTGAACTTTATATAAATGGAATCATGTAATATGTCTGGCTTGTCTGGTTTCTTCCTCTCAACATTATGTTTGTGAGATTCATACATGTTGTTTTGTGCAGTTGTTTGTTTATCGAACATGAAATGGAATGTAAGCTATTCCGTTGTTCAATTTGCAGAACGTCCTCATCTCTCATTTTATCGTTCTTGGGCACAGGGAGCTAATCAAGTTCAATTGCAAAAGTTGTTTATAGTCAGCACTCAGCAGAACATAACATGGATTAGAATTACAGAATCCTTGAGTTGGAAAGGACTTTAAAGGTCATCTAGACATCTACCCCCTCGCCTATCCAGTCTTGATACAACTATTTCTCCTAATCATTGCTCTGGTCAGATCACTTCCCATTCACTGCTGAAGGCATCCAGAGTTCGTATCCAGTATTCTGAGCCTTTCACGGTCCTGTCCCGATCCTGTCCCGCTACACAGCAGGAAGCAGCATCTCCTCCCACTTCTTGCAGCCTCTCTTGGCTGCCCCTCCTCCGAGGTGCTCTGGGCTGGGACCGCCATCTGGTGGCAGCTCCAGGGATGGGACTGATGCTTTACTTCTCTGTCATCTGTAGGCCTGTGCCTTGAGCTCCCTTTTTCCTTGTCCTTCTGCTCTGTTGGGCCAGGCCCTCAATCTTTTTCATACATGAGTATTTTCTTTAACCTCATTCCCCAATCCTACTTCTTACACTGTTCTTAACTTGTTATCTTAATAAAATCTCTCTCCTTGTCTTTTCCTCTCCTGTTTGACAGGCAGAACTTAAAAAGAAAACAAGACATGCTGAAAGGTCGCTGCCCATCCATCTCTAAAGCTCTAAGTGTTCAAGAGGTTTCCCCACAAAACTTCCATCAACTTACTAATCATTCTCATATTAAAGATGTTTTCTCAGAATATATATTTTTTTCCATATCCAAGTACAATATTTTAGCCCCTTGATGAGTTATACTTTTTTTCCTTTTATATTTTTCTATATATCTAAAGTTTCTAAAAGGAATGTGTTAATATAAATAGGAATACAATAAATGTTATTTAGAAAGGGAAAGAAAAAAGAAGCTTTATGGCAAATAGGACTTTTGCTTTTTTTTACTTTTTCCTGTTACATTATTTTGTATTTCTCCAAATTTCCTAGAAGAAGCATGTTTTAAATATAAATAGGGAATACAGTAAGTGTTACTTTAGAAGAAAAACGGGGGACTTTATGGCAAACAGGACCATCAGAAAGCTTGTTAAACTAGGTGGGACAGACAAGCTGTTTGAAGTAAACTATTGGTAACAGATCTTGACTTGTAATTAAGTGTTGGTGGCTCTGTAATGAGTCTGTGGTTTCAGGAGGGGTCTCCCATGGCTCCTGGAGCCACATCTGTCTTGAGGATTATTTGTCCTTGGCTTTATGGTGATTCTCATCTTCCTGAGCAGAAGCAGGAATGGGGGCAGGATGCTACCTGGAGAACGGTTTACTTTGCCCAGTTTATTGAGATTCTTTTATCTGCGAATGCCGGGTACACAGTGGAGAGACAAAAAGTTTCCTTACGGTCCCGAAACATGTTACCTACAAGCTCGAGCATCTCTACCAACAGTTAAAACGGCACAGTGGCCAGGTACAGGGATCAGCAAGGTTTGGCCTAAGCCTCTGCTTAGACTGGAGTACTAGAATGGCTTCCCAGTGGAGAGAATGAAAAAACTCCTCAAAAGATTTTATAGGCCAGCTTAGGAATCTGTTTGCTTGTAACTTTTTTTTTCCTTAGAGAATGCATTCATTTATTCAGCAAACATTTATTAAGTGCACAGTTATGTGCAAGGTGCTGCTTTAGATATAAGTGTAAAAATAAGAAATAGCTCCTGCCTTCCAGGTGCTTACAGTCTAGGAGGGGAGATAAGGCATGTATGCAAATAACTATCATACAGGATTATAGTTTTAGCAAATTAGAATAGTAAGGGCAAAAAAGGGAGCTCACACACTGTGCTGCTAGGAAATGCGTTAGAGTGGGGAAAAAAAGGATTTAAAATGTTTATGTAGTGTCTACTTGAATGGGAATGATACAGAAAACATTCAAGCAAAAAGACAATCTGTCCTATTAAGTTACTTTTTATACCTAGACTGAAATATTTTTAAAGAAAATAATCCAAGGTGTTACTATAGTAATGATCTGACTATAAATTATAACATAAATTCAATGCTGCATTTTCTTACTGTTCTATGTTGTATTAAAGTTTTTCTTTTAAAAAAGGAAATACTCAGAAGAACATAAAAGCCTTTTTCATTATAATATAGTAAAAGGGAATTTTATGTTTATTGAATGAACAATAAAATAGTAATGAAATTTTATGTTTTCTGCTCTCCTTTTCTTCTCAACCTCAGGAAAAACTGATAGACTCTCTTAGTAAAAAAATTAATCAAGTATACAAAGTCTGCATTGGAGATGCTGAGGTTGGCAGCCTCAACCCAGTTCAAAAGCTGGTAAAAGTAGAGTCTCGCCTGGTGGAACTGAGTGATCTCATTGAATCCATTCCCAAAGAAAATGTGGAGGCAATTGAGAGGATGAAACAGAAAGAACGACGGCAAAAGTACAGTCACTGTCTTATGATATAAATGTAGTGAAAGACTTAATGAGAAGCTGTTGTTGCTTGGATTCCACACACATTAAGGAAGTCTATGATACGGCAAGTCTCTATTATACGCCATATAGAGACCCAGTGGAATCAAACCCAGCCCTGCCCTCCTCATGGAGCTATTATTTAGTGTGGAGACACATAACATCCATATTCTTACGAAATAAATATCTCGTTATCAATTGTAAAATGAGCACTGTGAAGGAAAGAGTTCATCAGGGGCAAATGACATAGTTTTGGATGGGCAAGGGGTCCTTCTAGCCTGAAAAAGTGAATTTTCAGAGTGAATATTCACCACTTACATGAAAATTTTCAAAGGGCCATAATGTAGAAGGAGAACTATACTTGTGGTGAAGGGCCCAAGACTAGAATTAGGAGCCTTTCATTGGAAAACTACAGGGAGACTTAATCTATGAAGGAATTGTTTGAAAGTTAGAGCCATGTAATGAGGGTTTTCCTCAGTTCCTAACTGCCAACACTTACATACATCACATTTACTCATTAACTCATTTATTCCTCAAGATAATCTCATGAAGATTGTCATCCCTGGAACACATACCACCACCCTCACCTCCACCCCTGCCCAGCCCCCATGTCCCCACATCTTTGCCTAGCTTGGGGCCTTTCCCGGAGAATCCACTGATTTAGAAATTTCCATACCAAGTTAAATAAGGATTTTATGTACATACTACCTTTGAGGCAATGATTATTATAAATATAATATGATCCCTAGTATAATGTAGCATATAGAGAATGCTTATAGGTGGAATAATGTTCATGTTATAGCAAAAAAACATGTTGGCAGGCATACTAGAACTATGGCTATGAGCATGGGCATTAGAGCTGACCTGCCTGGGTTCAATCCAGGTTCTGCCATTTACAACTTTTGTGACCTTAGGCAGGCCACACAACCTCTCTTAAGTTTCAGTTTCCTTATCTGTAAAATGGCAGTAATAATGGAACTTATCTCACAGGGTTGTTGTGAGGATTAAATTAAATAATCTATGTAAAAGCGCTAAAGCATGCTTGGCATATAGTAAGTACTCAAAGAGCAGCCATTAATATTAGATACTTTGTTACTGCTTACATTACTGGGGTGGGGGGGATATGGTTTCCTCCATATAAAAACAAAGTCCAGAATATATTAAGGTGATCCTGATGGGATTTTATTGAATATGAAGCAATTTTTTTAAGAAATCATAAATGAAAATCACTCCTTCCAGAAGATGACCTTTGACTAATTATACTAAGAGCATTTGCATCTTGTAATTACTACTATTTCTAGTAGTGATACATGAACCTAATTCCAATTACTTATCATTCTTATCAAAAGGAGAATTTTACTGCATTTTTCCCATGGTTTGGAGGCACCTAACATAACACCTAATTTTGCATAAAAAATGTTCAGTGAATGTTACATTGATAATTATATATACATCCATACAAAAGCTATCACTTGTCCAGTGGTTATTCTGTACCAGGCATTGGACTAGACAGTTTGCATAAGTCAGCTCATTTAATTTTATCCTCATAACAACCCTAAAGAGAACAAAGACAAATACTATTTCTTGGCCTTAATTTGGGGATAACATTCAAAAAGATTTACTGGAAAGTATGTTTTTGTGGTTATCCACTGAACTATATACACTTGTGATCTGTGTACTTTTCTCCATATACTTCATATACTTCAGTAAAAGGTTTAAAAAGAGGGGGAAATAGCTGGAAATTAATTCAAGTGGCTGCCATACGGATTAACCGCGAAGTACCGAACTGTAAATGGAGTGATGAGAAAGCTTTGCTGAGGTGCTTGTTTTAGACCAAGATTTGGATAGATTTTACTTCTTCCAAAATGGTGACATGCATTTTCTTCCTATTTCAACACAAACAGGATTTGTTGTTGAAATTTCACCTGAATATTCAAAACCCATAGATTTGGGTGAAGATGAAGTATTATTTTCATTTAACCTTAAAGGAAACTTTATAATATTTAGGTAATTCTTTACCAAATAGTAATGATGTAGGTCTTTTTTACTTTCTGTGATTTATAGTTAGAACAATGTCTTCCCCTCTTGACAGGTTGCGTGAAGAGAAAGTGAAAGAAAAACAAAAACACCAGGAGGAAAGGCTAAAAACTGCTCTGGAAAGAGCAGGAGCACAACCAAAGAAAAAGGTTTGTGTTTTGTTATTAATAGGTTCCACTACATCAATGTGTGAGGGCTTCTGTGGTGCAAAAACAAAATACCTAACTCATCTAATTTATCCAGGTTAAACTTCAGTAAGATTGCTAACAGCTTAAATTGATCTCTCTCTGGTTCCTTGCTACTTTTAGAATGATTCAAATTACTGGTTCTACAGTTCTCCATTAGACTAACTTTTTGGTAAAAGAAACCTCTCCCCTCTCCTCTTTTTCTTTAGCTCCAGGTGCCAAGAAACTAGAGAATTAAAAAAATAATAGTAAGTGAATTACATACTACTGCAAGGGTCTTTTAATCCTCACACTGTAAAAATAATGAGACTTATAGTTGAAGTTAAAATAATTTACCCAGAGTCACTTCAGATTTAGCAGCAGAATCTGACCAGAAGCCAAGGTTCTTCATATTTCAAGATTACCTGTTCAATAAGTTTAGAATTGGGCAGTCACAGAGTGCATGTGGTCTATGACTCCCCCTAGGTGTGAAGGGCCTTTTGTTTCTATATGCCACTCTCCCTCCTCTGAGCTAGAGTCTGAAGTATATTCCAGGAAGGCAATCTCATAGTTAACTGCAAAGCTAATATGGACATTGATTCTCACCATAGTCACAGCTAACCTATAGTGAATGCTTCTGTGCCTCACAACCAGCCTTTGAGGTAAGTACTTAAAGTTCTGAAGTATGGTAACTGTTAATATGTACTACGTCAAAAAGTGATAATTAATTTTATTTAAATAAGCATTTCATCTTTAAAAGGGTCTGTACTTATCTAGTTCAACTCTGCTTCTCTTGAGAAGTTCAACTCTAACTTCTCTTCTTCTAAGAGAGAATTAATCATTCATCACCCTGCTACATGTATATACTATTATTTACTAAACTCACCAAATTAAAGTGATTATTTTTTAATATATCCATCTTTCCTTTTAGACCATGAATGAGTTTTATGACCTTTGTATCCCCAATGCCTGGCACATAGTGGACACTCAATAAATGCTTACTGAATTAACAGACTAAAAATGAGAATGAAAACTAAATCTGGAAGAAAACTGGAGAAAGAATGTTGATAAGTCAACAATGTATGAAGACCTCTGAAAGAAGATTTTACTCTTTCAGAGGACATTTCATCACTGGCAATTTTCTCAGACAGAAATTAATAACAAAGGTTATCAAAGGAGATCATCACCAGTGAGAGAAAAAATATGACATTAGGAAAGGAATTCAAGGATTCCAGTCCTCTAAGGATATTTTTGTTGTTATAATGAGGGGAGGACTGCTAGTGCTATTTAGTTCTCTGGAGTCAGGAATGTCAAACATTCTACAATGCAGGGGACAGTCACACACAGGGTTGGTGCCCCTTTTGAGGCACAATGGAAATGTCCCATCAAATTTCATGTCTAACAGAACAGTTTTCTTATCCATTTAATTTATACAAATTCAGATATAAAGGCAAAACAAAAAATAAATAAATGAATAAGGAGAAGGGGGAGAAAAGACTCAAAGAGAAAGATTAGTATGATATACTTGAGTATATGCTCCAGAGAGAATAAATAGGTATGAACTGGGGTATCCCTAAGCCTCTCCTGGTGGGACCAAGAGCCAACAGGATTTCTAGTGCCTAAGAAAATAGTACATGGTTTTCTCAAGGTTTTGTTTAACAGGATTTTTAAATGCCAGTCAGCTGTTGCTTAGCAGAGGAAAGTGGTCTCTTCGAACCAATGGAGTAGAAATTAGCTATGGCAGTTACTGAGAAATGAAGTGTTGGCCTCAAACGTGGAGTTTCTCTAAGCTTAGCATACCTGAAACACAAGCTATCTGATGACTTTATCTAAATCCTCCCACTTGCCCATAAAACCTAACTGCCCTGTCTTCTGCATACCATGGTGCTCCATTCGTTACTTAACTTTGCCTGCATTTGGACATCCATTAGGTTATCAATCCCTTTGTAATTGGGATTATTATTTACTATTTTAAACTGTATTATTCTTCAGAAAAATCAAGTTAATATTAGTATTTTAGTTACACTTCAATAGAAAATGGTTATATGAAAATATTAAGTACTTTTTCTTTTGTTTCAGCTGGGAAGACAACTTATCTACCGCTCAAAACCTCCATCTGGTAACAAACGTGAACTACTTTTAGTCAAGGATACAAGAACAAAATCACTGGAGGAAGAATATTTTTTCACTTGAATAGGAGCAGTAAGACATTTATAACCAGAATGCTTTAGGCATATTTTGTAGATTTTTGCTTTTCAGTAATGGCAATATTCTGCCCCACACACAGGCCTAACCAATTTCAGGAAGACAGGTCCTTACTCTAAAAGGCTCTTAGGATTGGAAATGGGAGTTATTTTCTTTTGTTGAAGACCTTTATTATCCACATCCTAACCATTATTCCATATAGCTAAACATTTATACTTTCTGTTGTCCCAGGTGGGGATACACATCCAAAGTGACCTTACTGATGTAACTGTATGGTGAATGACCATTTAAGTGCAATAATGGCATTCTGACAACCTAAGACTTTAAATAATCTTTTTTTTTTCAACCAGTCCACAGGAAAGTTCATAGTGTAAATTTTATCACTGTGGAGTATACATTTTAACAACGTGCAACTCTAAAATACTGATTTGAGGAGTTTAAAACTTAAATGAAAACTACTAGATTATGTTCTCATGAGAACATAATGAGACATAACCAACCATGAGACTGATTTTTAATTCACATTAAGGGGTTCTGTTCAGAAAACTTAATTCTCTTTAAGTGAACAAACCATATGTCTTCAGCCTACATGTCAGTTCACAATTTCTGTTGTGTTCTATACTCAAAACCATCTTAATTTTCAGGTGACGTTTCAATTTTAGCTGTAATGTGCATATCATTTAGCTCACATTGATATAGAATTAACATGTAATTTATTGACTACTAAGTAAAATAATACAGTCTATATTAACTCTAAGAAAATATTTAACTTTATATGTGTCAAAAGTGGCTCAAAAATAACTCTAAAAGAAACAGTTGCTTTTAAAAGGTCTCAGTTAATATACAATTACAAGGGCTAAAATTGACTTTCATAAACATTTATAGAGCATATAAATAAATTTCCCTTATAGAAAAAAAAATACAGCATTGGGCTTACATGAAAACCAACTTGAATAAAGTTGGGTGGCTTTTAAAGCATTAGTTCTGTGAATAATTTTTCAACTGTTTCAACATTTGAGCTCTGCATGTAAATATCTGAATATGAATAGCTCACAGTCAAGTTGAAAAACAAACAAATCTTTATTGTCTACAAATATATATAAAAAAAATTCCCCCCAAAAGATGCTATTCTCTCATTTCCCCATCTTCTTCTTCTTCTTCAACACCCCTGATATAAAGGACATTATTACACCTGTAAACAGAAAAACAGTCCATTTTGTTGTTCCAACAAGAAACCATATAAGATCTGAATTACTACGTTTATTAGATTTTTTCATTACAAAAATATTAATGCTAAAATTACAATACATCATTTCTTTCTCTTTTTTAAAAAAATTTACCTTTGGTTTGTTAAAGAGCACATGACACTCATTTTTATACCATGCGGTTGTTAAAAAATGGTATCTTTATGATCTCCCAAAGGGAATAATGACTAGAGTTTGGAGATGTGAAGCTAGTTCTAGAAAATAAGTGTAATACGAATCCCTAATAGCAGCCAGACCCACCTAAAATTCAAAACCAAGCTCTTGCAACTAAAACCACTGAAAAAGGTACAGTTAAGAGCTAGAAAGTTTAATATCAACACTAGAAAAACCTTAAGAATGAACAATTCCCAAATATTTAAATCTGCTTTGACAAGTTTAACAATTTCAAGAATCTTGAAGTCTAGTTGTAGAATGTTATGTTAAAATTAATAGTGATTTAAAAAAAGTAATTCTGAGATTGGGGCACTAATAGTTTATTTAAACAGGTATTTTTACTGCTCACCAGTAACTCCTAATATAAACTACTGATGCTTTGTTACCTTATTAAAACTTCACCCAGATGTCCAGATAATGCTCCATCTATGTATTCTTCTGTGTTTGCAAGCTTTAAATAAAAAGAAAATATATTAGTATAATCACACAAGAGGAAAATAGTATTATACACCTAATATTGGTGAGAGAACTTATTAACAGAGACCTTTCGGTACCAATGACTCACAGTTACCTACAATAATTAGAAGATTAGCTTTCTATTACTACTGTAGTACTTTTTGGTTTCATATAAACATTCAGTAAAGTTAACATTGATGGATGTAGAACTGATATATAATAAAGCTCGTTTCAACACAATTTTTTAAATATCTCAATAATGTAATATTTCTTTCTATTAAACATTAAAACAACATGTCAAGGAAGACAGTCTCCAATTTATGAATAAGCTGTGAATAATTCAGGTCTAAAGAAACAGACGTTAACTTTTCTCAGAGTAATAGCATTATATCATATTGAGGAACCCAATGGGTACAAAAGCTATGGCTAAAATACCAAGTACTCTTATATTAGTCAACAACCAAACTAAAGAACTGAGTAAGAATTTTTAAAAATTATGTGCTAATAAACAGGAAAAAAATAAGTTCTTAAGAGGAGGTTTAATTAAGAGTGACCTTTATAGTTACTTTAGAGAACTCTATTATTTCTAATTTTACATCAAAATATTTAGCTTTCCTTTTACATAAAGATAATAAACTTTACTTATAATTTAAAAAAATTACAATCAGTGCTACTGGGACTCACAAAAGAAATGAACAAGATAGAAAGGAACAGGGACGTTTCCTTCATTAACTAGGCAAGTGGGCAAAGGGAAAGAAAAATAGGTCTTAGAGAGGATATAAGGTAAGGCATTTAAAACATGTTAATGAATTAATAATGCTACTGGATATTATTCCTTCTCCCATAGAGAACAAAAAATAACCTCTTAAACTCAGGGGATATGGTTTTGTCTGAAATTGTTGCCAACAATTAGTTTTGTATGCAATAGCTCTCAGAAATAATGTATTAACATCAACTAATTTTTTTTTAAAGTGATTATTTCCGGCAGATGTTCACCAACATTTAAACTGGTTTCTAAATTATAATAATGCTCCAAAGGCCTTCTACCACACTTTAAAAAAACTGAACTATAGCTGATTTACAATACTGTGTTAGTTTCAGGTGCACAGCAAAGTAATTCAGTTACCCCATTTTTCAGATTCTTTTCCATTATAGGTTATTATAAGATATTGAATATATAGTTCCCTGTTTTATACAGTGGGTCCTTGTTGTTTATCTATTTTATACACAGCAGTGTGTATCTGTTAATCCCAAGCTCCTAATTTATCTCTCCCCCACTCCTTCCCCTTTGGTAACCACAGGTTTGTTTTCTGTCTCCGAGTCTGTTTCTGTTTTATAAATAAGTTCATTTGTATCATTTTTTAGATTTCACATTTAAGTGATATCATATGATATTTGCCATTTTCTGTCTGACTTCCTTCACTTAGTATGATCATCTTTAGGTCCATCCATGTTGCTGCAAATGGCATTACTGCATTCTTTTTATGGCTGAGTAATATTCCATTGTGTGTGTGTGATACATATGTACCACATCTTCTTTATTCACTCATCTGCCGATGGACATTTAGGTTACTTCCATCCATGTCTTGGCTATTATAAACAGTACTGCTGTGAACACTGGGGTGCATGTATCTTTTTGAATTAGTGTTTTCTCCAGATATATGCCCAGGAGTGGGATTGCTGGGTCATATGGTAACTCTATTTTTTGTTTGTTTGTTTGTTTGTTTTTGCGGTACGCGGGCCTCTCACTGTTGTGGCCTCTCGCGTTGCGGAGCACAGGCTCTGGACGCGCAGGCTCCGGACGCGCAGGCTCAGCGGCCATGGCTCACGGGCCCAGCCGCTCCGCGGCATGTGGGATCTTCCCAGACCGGGGAACGAACCCGTGTCCCCTGCATCAGCAGGCGGACTCTCAACCACTGCACCACCAGGGAAGCCCTATTTTTTAGTTTTTTAAGGAACTCCCCCCATACTGTTCTCCATAGTGGCTCCACCAATTTACATTCCCACCAACAGTGTAGGAGGGTTCCCTTTTCTCCACACCCTCTCCAGCATTTATTGTATGTAGATTTTTTGATGATGGCCATTCTGACCAGTGTGAGGTGATACCTCATGGTAGTTTTGATTTGCATTTTTCTAATAATTAGTGATGCTGAGCATCTTTTCATGTGACTTTTGGCCATCTGTATGTCTTCTTTGGAGAAATGTCTATTTAGGTCTTCTGCCCATTTTTTGATTGGGTTGTTTGGTTTTGTTTTGTTTTTTTGATATTGAGTTGTATGAGCTGTTTGTATATTATCACATTTTAAATAAAATCCAAAATTCTTACAATCCCTTAAAAGGTCTTCCATGACTACCATTCCAATCTTTCTATCATACTTCCTGTAACTCACTCTGCCCTCACCTTCTTGTTGTGCCTTGAAAAGAAAAAGCATGTTTCTGCCGCAAAGCCTTTGCAACTTGCTGTTCCCTCAGATTGGGATGCTCCTTCCCCAAACACTCTCTTCAGTTGCTCACTCAATTCTGGTCTCTGTCTAAATTTACTTCCTCAGAGAGGCTTTCCCTGGCTATCCTATCTAATACTGTACACTCTTGTCACCCTCTTCCATTTCTGCTTTCTTTTTCTCCATAGCATCTATCATTACCTGATACCATATCACATTATATTACCATCTCCCATCACTAAAACACAAACTTCTTGAGGATAGGGACTTTGTTTTTGTTCACTGGTGTATTCACAGTGCCAGGCACATAGGGGCTCTCAGTAAATATTCACTGAGTGAACAAACTCAAAAGCATCACCAATGCAGTTAGTTACTCAGAGATAACATTTCATAACTCTGACAGGTTCACTAGGAAGCCATATTACTTCTAAAACCAAATATTTGGTGGGTATTCTTTATTCCTTTCTTTTAATGAGATATAGTTCTTTATAAAATTCTCTTTTAAAGTATACAAGTCAGTGGTTTTTAGTATATTCATAAAGTTATGTAATTATCACCACTATCTAAGTCTGGAACATTTTCAGCACAATGGATATAGTCTTCAAATTTCTCTATGGCCTTGGTAAATGATTCCTGCTTAGGGAATTTTCCAGGCCAAAACCATGCTCTATAAGAACTTTGGGGACCTGAGCATTGTCTGTTCAGGTGGTAAACTCTTAAATTAAGGAAAATGTCAGCTTTGGGCCTACAAGTGCTCCTATTAGTACTGTGCCTACTGCACTATCAGTTTGGAATACTTGGGAGTCATGATTGGTTTGACCACCTATCTAGGTACCCTTTAAAGTTCACTCATCAGCCATTAATCAGTCACATAAATACCTGCGCTTCAGGAAAATATAACCTCAAACTCTTTCTTCAAAAACCCGTCTGAAAACTATTGAATTAAACAACAAAAAAACCAAACACCCCAATTTAAAAATGGACAAAGGACATGAACAGGCATTTCTCCAAAGATATGTAAATGACCAATAAGCACATAAAAAGATCTTAACATCACTAATCATTAAGTAAATGCAAATCAAAACAATGAGATACCACTTCACACTCATTAGGATGACTATTAAAAAAAAAAACCAGAAAATAACAAGTGTTGGTGAGGATGTCAAGAAACTGGATCCCTTGTACATTGTTGGTGGAATGTAAAATGGTGCAGCTGCTGTGGAAAACAGTCTGGCACTTCCTCAAAAAATTAAACAAAGAATTACTGTATGATACAGCAATTCCACTTCTGAATACAGACTCAAAAGAACTGAAAGTAGAGACTCTAACTGATATTTGTACACCTATGTTCACTGAACTATTCACAACAGTCAAAAGGTGGAAACAATTCAAATATTCACCAACAGAAGAACGATTAAAATGAGGTAGAGTTGACCCTTGAACAACACAGGTTTGAGACCGCATGAACAAGCTGATGCAGAACCACGGATACGGAGGGCCAAGTATGGACTCAAGCATCTGTGGATTTCAGTATACCAGGCAGGTCCTGGAACCAATCCCCCAAGGATACTGAGGGACCGCTACACACAATGGAATATTTCAACCATAAAAAGGAATGAAATTCTGATACATGCTACAACATGGATGAACCCTGAAAACACCATGCTGAATGAAATAAGTCAGACACACAAGGACAAATATTGTAGGATTCCACTTATATGAGGTTCCTAGAATAAAGACGAACAGTGTTTACCAGGAGGCAAAGGGAATGGGGAGTTATTGTTTAATGGGTAGAGTTTCCCTTCGGGATGATGCAAAAGTTCTTGAAATGGATAATGGTGATGGATGCACAACCATGTGAATGCAGTTAATGCCACTGAGTTGCACACTTGAAAATGGTTAAAGTGGTAAATTTTGTGCTATATATATTTTACCTCAATTAAAAACAAAACGTGGCTGAAACATTTACAGAAGCTAGTTTAATAGACAAGTAGCCAGTTCATTAATTCTTTTGGTCAGTCTGTTTTCTCCCTCAAGAATTGCTTTTATCGGGCTTCCCTAGTGGTGCAGTGGTTGAGAGTCCGCCTGCTGATGCAGGGGACACGGGTTCGTGCTCCGGTCCGGGAAGATCCCACATGCCGTGGAGCGGCTGGGCCCGTGAGCCATGGCCGCTAAGCCTGCGTGTCCGGAGCCTGTGCTCCGCAATGGGAGAGGCCACAACAGTGAGAGGCCCGCATACCGCGAAAAAAAAAAAAAAAAAAAAGAATTGCTTTTATCAAATTACTTTTATGTTGTACATTTAGCATTCATCAAAAGACTTAAGAATTTCACTGGAAAAGTTTCTCTCAGAGCTAAGTGCTGGGAAGTTTTGCTTTTTCTGCGAACTCTAGTGTATTTGTCTTATGGCATTGTGAATCAAATGTCTGAGCTCTTCTTACTTTTAACCGCTAGGAGTCAAATCCGTGCTTGAATTTTGGTTTAATATGTCTCATACATAGTTATCACAGTTACAACACCCTCCTTGGCCTTGACTTTATTCCTGAATTTTGCTCTGTGTTTGTCAATTAAATTAATTACATCTTTGTAAGTCACACTAAACCTTTAAGGAGTCAGGTGAAGAAAAATAAATACAATTTAATGATCTTTGTAACTCTTCAGCTTACCTGCATGTTCATATAGCCATCTACAGACACCAGGTAGCCTTTGTACTCCATTCCCCACTTAAGCTTCACCATTACTGGCTTTCCTGTTAATCCATTGAGGAAAGGTTTGGGATTGAGGGGCAAACTCTGCACAAAGAACAAAAAAAGAACCCAATTGATTATTTTTCCTTAGTTTGGCTTCCATTACCTACTCTCTTCTCTATCAAATCACCAATATTTTATAGTATCCAAATAAAGCAAAACTCTTGTTTCCCTCTCACATTATTACATAATTTTCACTTTTGTTGAAGAACATCAGAGAAACTTAAATACCTAGTTAGCCAATTTCACCTTCAATCCATCAAGACTTGTAGAAGTATTCATTGTTCACTTAAGAAACACTGAACACCTAATATGCATCACTCACTGTTCCAAGGTCATAAAGAAACAAAGGTAAAGGCAGAAAAAAGAAAAAAAAAAGCAGATAACAGTCCCTGTCCTCAGGCCCACAGTGGGAGGGGGGAGGGCCAAAACACATGCAAATAGACAATTATTTTGCAATGTAGTAAGAGGAGATATGCTATGTACAAGGGTACCAAACAATCAAACAATCCAGGTTAAAAGAAAAGGAAGAGTTGCCTGAAATAAGTAATGCCTCTGTTTTAAAGGATGAGAGGTATTTCCAGAGGGAAAAGGGCTGATCTGGTGGGGTGGGGGTGGGGGTACCTATGTAAAAGGAGGGAAGAGTGAATGAACAAGGGATCTCAGGGACACACAAATTAGTTTTGTATGAGGCTACAGAAGGAGGCAGGGACAGATCATGCTCCACGATCTTCAACTGAATTCCAGGAGCTAGGACTGGGTCTTCTTTGACTTTGCAGCGCCTCCTACATATGGGCAGTCACTTAATGTTTGTTTATTCAGCTAACCGGTAGTACCCCCAGTGAATTCAGACTTTTCTTCCTTTCCTCATCTGCTCACTCATCGGCCAAAGAAAGAAAACCAAGAAACTTGGCTACTAAACCCTCTAGAATAAGCACATTCACAGTGATCTCAAATGGGTCTCCAGTTTTCACTCATCTTTCTCCAACTTATTAGCCACATGGCAAGTATTATTTTTATCATACGATGTCTCTGCTTAAAATGCTTCGATGGCTTCCAACTGCACTTGGAGTGGAACCCAGACCTCCTAAAACGGCCTAAGAGGTCTTGCCCAACCCTATCTCATGACCACTATCCTTCCAGGCGGCTGTGGCTTTCTCTCAATTCCTCCAGCTAGTCAGGTGTTCCTTCCGGCCTCACAGCCTGTGCTCCTGTTCCCTGAGCTTGAGGTACACACGCTTCCTCCTGCTCTTCACGGGGCTGCATTCCATATCTCTTAGATTTCAGGTTCAATCCCTCCTCCAAGGGATGCCACCTGTAACCACTCTTCTAACGTACCACGGCGCCCCCTCACAGCACCGTTTGCTCCCTTCTTAGCAGTTAACGTTATTCGAAATTATGTATTTATCGTTGTTTGATTAATGTCTGAGTTAACCTAGAGCAGGGTCCGCGTCAGTACTTTTTATCCTATATTCCTAGCACCTAGAACGTTACCTGGCCCTGGCAGGTGGCAGGCGCTCAGTAAAGCTTTGCTAAACGAACAGGAGAATGCTCAATGCCTGGGCTCTGTATTCCAAAGGGCTGCAGGGCCCCCCAACATCACGGGACGAAAGCGGATTGTGGAGTGTGATAAGTGGGACGTGAAAAACCGCTGCATTTTTACCCCAGCCCTGTGGCCCCAGGCAGCAAGGACACCTCAGGCTCGGATACAAAACGAAGACGGGGAAGAGGGCAGGGGCACTCCTGGGGAGGGGAGCGCTTCGGAAGGAGGGCGCGCCTCAGACACCCAGAGCAGAGAGAAAGGGGCTGGCCACCCGGCGCGCCGCGCCTCACGCGGATGAATGGGAAACGCGCGAACCAACCACCAGGCCCGGCAAGGCTGGTCACCCGCCCTCTCTCTCTCACGGGACACTGGCCGCTCTCTTTCTCCTTACCATCGCGACTACTGCTGCAGTAGTGGGCAAATGCTGCAGGCTACTCGCCGCCGACCCAGCTGTCGTCCGACCCTCGTGACTGGAGTAGCCACAGCAGGGTCCCCAACCGCGTAGCTTCAGAGAAATGGCCGCCAGATAGCAGCGTGACCTTTCACCTCCGACTACCTCTCTTCTGGCTTCTGTGATTGGACGCAAAGAGGTGCGTGCTGATTGGAGGAGGTGGCTGGGCACGTCTCCTAGCAACCAGCTGCGCCGAGTGGGCGCGCGCCTCCACGGTAGTGCGCGGGCCTCTGGGAAACCGGCTGCTCCAAGCCAACGGGAGGATGCCTGCGAGGCTGCAAATGCCGTGAGGCGGCTCTGGTTTCTCGTTTGCTCACCTACCTCGAGGGTGCACTGTGTACCCTGTAGAGTGGACGTGATGTCTTGCCAACTTGGCTAGTGGGGGGTTCCTTTGTCCTCGTACACCTGGGAGAACGAATTTGGGGCTCTCGGGTTTCCTCCTCACTTTCCCACAGAATCTGTGCTGGGAGGTCTCCTCTGACACGGTCCCCTTCTCTCTGTTCTGTAATGCTCAATGCTCATGTCAACCCACTTCAGGGGAAGTGGGAGAAGCAAGACTAGATAGGCTAAGGGACGTGAAACGCACCGAAGTAAGGTTTTCAGATGAGGTTACATGGAGTCTAGAACATGGTGTGGTGGGCTCCCGCTCCATCTGTTTCTTTTGCGTTGTGAGCAGAGGCCCGCTACAGTCTTTATACTGCACTTATAGCAGAAGGTGGAGGATGTTTACGCTATCACGGATTGATCCTTCTAATATAAGAGTAGAATTGTTGGGTCATACAGTAATTCTGTACTTGACTTTTTGAGGAGCTACCAAACTGCTTTCCACAATGCCTGCACCATTTTACATTCCCACTAGCAATGTATGAGATTTCTAATTTCCCCACATTCTCACCAACACTTATTTACCATTAAAAAATATTATCATAGTCATCCTAGTAATCCTAATAATAATAAGCCGTCTCATTGTGGGTTTGATTTGTATTTCCCTAATGACTAATGATGTGGAGCAACTTTTCATGTGCGTATTGGCCACTTGTATATCTTTGGAGAAATGTCTGTTCAAGTCCTGTATGCCTTTTTATATGTTCTATTTATGGAACCCTTGAATGTATTGCCTAATTTGAAAAGTCATGTGACCATTCTGGGTCTCAGTTTCTTCGCTGATAACAATAAAGGGATTGGACTCGATCGGGGTTTTCAACCTCAATACTAGTGACATTTGGGGCCAGACAATTCTTGTTGTGGGGACTGCCCTTTGTATTGTAGAATGGATGTATTGTAGCAGTATCCCCAGCCTCTACCAAGTAGATGCCAGTTGCAACGCTCTCCCTCCAAGTTGTGATAACCAAAATGTCTCCAGACATTGCCCAGTGTCTTCTGGAGGGCACAGTCATCCCCTGTTGAAAACCACTGGATTAGATCCATGATTTGTAAACACAGGCCACAGACTTGGATCACTTTGCAGGTAGTATTGAGGCTTTGCAAACTATTTGTATTATTAAAAAATAAACAAAACAACTAACAAATCGTACATTTATTTAACAGGGACTGTATAAGAATGATGAAAACCTGATGCTTCTCTGCTTTTGATTAGAATGAAATCAACTCAAAATACAAATACTAGTTGATAATCATGGATCAGAAGCTCTGATTGACATTTATATATGTATCTGATTTATAAAAATGGGAAAGCAAATTGTCAATAAATGATGTTTTTTAGTTTCATAAATCATAGATTCAGTTTGGGGGGAGGGTAGATAATAAAACCCTTTGCGGATAAAAAGCTGGGAACCCCTCAGCTAGCTGACCAGTGTTAAAAACTGACTTTAAACACAGTTCGGTTCTTTGCCGTACTTCCACAAGGTGGCAGTGGTGAGTTTTGAGTAAAATTTCTAATCATACAGGCACTTGGAAGTTAATCTGTTCAAAAGGGGACTTCACTGTTCTCAAAACACAAACGACCCACTACTGGGCATATACCCTGAGAAAACCATAATTCGAAAAGAGTCATGTACCAAAATGTTCATTGCAGCTCTATTTACAATAGCCCAGAGATGGAAACAACCTAAGTGTCCATCATTGGATGAATGGATAAAGAAGATGTGTGGCACATGTATACAATGGAATATTACTCAGCCATAAAAAGAAACGAAATTGAGCTATTTGTAATGAGGTGGATAGACCTAGAGTCTGTCATACAGAGTGAAGTAAGTCAGAAAGAGAGAGACAAATACCATATGCTAACACATATATATGGAATTTAAGAAAAAAAAATGTCATGAAGAACATAGGGGTAAGACAGGAATAAAGACACAGACCTACTAGAGAATGGACTTGAGGATATGGGGAGGGGGAAGGGTAAGCTGTGACAAAGTGAGAGAGTGGCACGGACATATATACACTACCAAACGTAAAATAGATAGCTAGTGGGAAGCAGCCACATTGCACAGGGAGATCAGCTTGATGCTTTGTGGCCACCTAGAGGGGTGGGATAGGGAGGGTGGGCGGGAGGGAGACGCAAGAGGGAAGAGATATGGGAACATATGTATATGTATAACTGATTCACTTTGTTATAAAGCAGAAACTAACACACCATTGTAAAGCAATTATACTCCAATAAAGATGTAAAAAAAAAAAAACACAAACGAAACAGAACAAAACCACATAGAACTTCTCCCACAGTCTCCTGTGCTGTACAGTCCCCATCCCCCTCATCCCTCAAATGTTTCCAGTGAATCAAATTTTTAAAAATAAGCTTGTTATTCTACTTTTCATCTGTTACCCACCTTGTTGCTAGAAGTATCTCTAACCTCCCCTCCTCCAAAATAAAATGAAAATCTGGACATACTACTCTGCTACCTTTTTTTGGTTCCCATGTACCAGCGGCCTAAAACAAGTTCCTTCCCAAAGTTTCTTTCCAGCTTTATGTCTTTCCTTTCTGTCCCACAAACCACAAAGCTGGCCTTTGAATCACAGGCCATGTTTTTTTGTGTGTGTGTTTTTTTTTTTACAACTCCATGTACTTACACATGATACTCTCTCCATCTAGAAATCCTTTCTCCTGTTTGCTTTGCCTGGAAAATTCTTATCTCCATGATCCAATTCAAATGGGCACTTTAGGTCTGAAGACTTCTCTTAAACTTCCCCAGGCCATTAGTTATTCTGTCACATGGTTCTACACCATCTATCCTGTTTTAACACCAGCTACCCTCTGTTTTAGAGAAAAAAAGATTTTGTTCATTAACTCATTTGTTGCTGTTACATTTTGTCCCCTAATGCAATGCACATCATTTTCCACATTCTGTTGGCTAGAACACAGTCACATGACCTCACCTAAGTCCAATGGAGGCTGGGAAGTGTGCTTTGTCAGTGCACAGGAGGAAAAAGGCAACGTGAACAGAGTGGTCTCTGTCACCCTCAGAAATTCTACTCTAACAATTAGGTTACTTTTTACAATTTTACCTAACCTCTTATATGCCATCTGTTTACACTCATTCTATTTTAGGCTGTATATCAATATGTTATCCAGCTTCATTATCACCTTTCATTGTCCCGGGGTATTTATCAACTATAATTCCAATGCTGAAATAACTACTGTTAAATTTTGTTATCATCTCTTTTCTCTATGTATAAGTGTATGTATTTTGATATAGTTGGAATAATATATAAATTTTTATCCTGTTTTACTTAACATTATAGTAAAAATAATTTCTCTTTCTTAGGAATGTTTCAGTGTCAATATTTTTAATGGCTGCATAATATTTATCATATATATAGATATAACCTAATTGTTGGGATTTAAGTTGTTTCTTGATTTGTTACTATATTAAATATCAATCTAGGAATATTCTATTTATGTATGTATATTTCTTTCCTTTATGTCCATGTATCTCTGTACAAGTCTTTCTGTAACATGGGTGCCTCTGTGCTACCAGAGGTAGTTTAGTGCAAAGTGTGTGGACTCTGGAATAGGCACTGCTCAAGTTCAAGTTCCTTCATGGGCCTTCTGACTTTGAGTTCTTCATTTGTATAGTGGGGCCAACGGTAGTCTCTACCTCCTGAGGTTTGGGATGACTAAATTAGTTAATAATTAAAAGAGATCCTTTCCTTCTTGAAACTTTCATTCATTTATTCAGCAAATATATATTGTGTCACAACGTGCTGATCATTATTCTAGGGGCTGTGGATGCAACTGTTCCAAAAGGAAGGAACAATCTGTGGGAGAAACTCAACCAGAAAGCAAAGAAATAATTACAACTATTATGTGCTGAAAGGAAGTGAACTGGGCGGGGAGATAGAGAAACGGTATGGTGGAAAGTGAAACCAACTCAGATAAGGAAGTTCTATTTTGCCTAAATTTGTCTAAAGACCAGTCTGCCAAATGACGAATATACCAAAAATTGCTAAATATTTAAAACAGGTTGTTCAGAATGTTCCCTGCAATGGTTTCACTGTCAGTGAGTGGCCAGGGTAGAGGCAAAGCTCCAGTTTACAAAAATAGAGAAGACAGCAAAAGCTTTCTGATGGAAAGTTTACCCTCAAACAGTGCTAGGCATCCTCAGATGAAATGCACGCAAAATTGATAATCAACTGAGCTGAACCCATAAATCCTTGGAGGAAAACAGCTGTGGCAAAATGACTGCAGTGAATCTTGCATGTAATGAAAATTTCAAAAGCAATCAGCAATTCAGCAAAGCCTTCTGGAAGTCAGAGAAGGCTTTTCTGAGGAGGTGATATTTAACCTGAGGCCAAAAATATGAGAAGGCATAAAAACTCCTCTATTCGTAATAATTGGACTACTCACACAGTACATATTATAGATCGTTCTGTATTGTGGTATTCGTGTACATGTATTTGACATCCTACTATAAGTTCCTTAAGTGCAAGGTAAACAAAAATTCAGTGTTTGGTTACTGCTAAATGAGGACTGAGTGTGGTGAGACAAACAAAAGTGTCTGCTGGGCCATCCCTGTGGCTGCCTCTGGGTTGCCTGGTAGTAAGCCTGCTGGGCTTGGTGGCTCCTTGCCCTCTCTCTGCAAGGGTTCCAGGTGCTAGCACTGCTAGGCCACTAGTGTTCCCAGCACTGGTATGGAA